CCCGCCCGCCCGCTCACGTGATAACATAATACGTCCCTGTCTTCGACGGGCGTATAAAAATTGATGGGAATTACAGATATGATGAAAGCTGAAAAATTGGGTCAATATCTAAATATATATCAGCAAGATGTGTCACAAATTAACTGGTGCTACATATCAGACAGTGTCAGATAAAGCAGGGGTTATATAACAGTGTCAGATATAACAGGTGTTATATAAAAGTGTCAGATAAAGCAGGTGTTATATAACAGTGTCAGATATAACAGGTGTTATATAACAGTGTCAGATATAACATGTGTTATATAACAGTGTCAGATATAACAGGTGTTATATAACAGTGTCAGATATAACAGGTGTTATATACCAGTGTCAGATATAACAGGTGTTATATAAAAGTGTCAGATAAAGCAGGTGTTATATAACAGTGTCAGATATAACAGTTGTTATATAACAGTGTCAGATAAAGCAGGTGTTATATAACAGTCAGATAAAACATGTGTTATATAACAGTGTCAGATAAAGCAGGTGTTATATAACTTCTTCAGATAAAACAGGTGTTATATAACAGTGTCAGATGAAACAGTTTATAACAGAGAAATTTGTTTCTGAACCTTTTAAATTAATATCAGGGTGATCCTCTATTATTTATTAACACAGCATTTTTTTAATGGCAAAGAAAATACCGTATTGTATAAAAAAAACATAACAGTTTTGATTAGGATCTGACAACATAATGAGTATGAATTCTGTACATAATTACTGGTATGTAAATAAATAGCTGACCAGTCAGCATTTATCAGATACAACATACAGTAATGTTCTGGACAATATTATGCCAATTAACTGAACAGCATCTGCTGACCACGGTCAGTATACAGTTATGAGTGCACACTGCTTCGGGGGCCAGAATTCTGTCCAACTGTCAAACATCATATTGGTCTAACTGTCACAATCATGCTCATTATCTAACAACCTCTCTTTTAATCATACTCGAATTTGTTTTAATTCCTACTGCATTTGAACAGGATATTTTGTTCATGCTAGATATTAAATAAGAAGCTCAGGGACTTTGATAACTTTTTTTACAATTTAAAGAGAAAGAAATTAAGCTGTAATGAGACCAAATCTCTATGGGCATATGAATGATAGGATGAAGGATATGAATGTGATAGTTTATAGTCTCTTCCTGGCAAGCAATCTTATATATGGTTATGGGGTGGGAATTTCAACAGTTTCTATTTCATATGACCCAGGAGGCAAGTCCCCAGGGACAAGGTAGACCCTGGAACAAATCCTAGTAGCATGGTGTATTCATCTCTTCATTGCCTACAAATTTAATACATGGTAATGAGGGATATTTAAACTTGTAAGGACCAAGGTAGAAAATACCCAGGGGCATGACCAGACCCCAGTACCAATCCTAGTAGCATGAGTGTATTTGTCAAGTTATCATGAGTATCTTCGTCTTTTCATGCCTATAGCAGTGATATACATGTGTGGTCGCCTTCTAGTTTTGCGCTAGATGGAGTTTCCCTTTAGCTCAGTGGTAGAGCATCCGACTAGAAAGTCTAGGATTGCAAGTTTGATCCTCGATGGAAGCACAATTGACTCTTTTTTCTATCTATTCCACATGATTATAGGTTGTGGATCTCAACTGTTTTCATGTTATGATCAAGGGAGTTAATCCAAGGAATGAGGCCAGAAATACAGACAAATCCTGGTGGTAGCATAAATGTTAGTGTTCCTCTTTAAGCCCAGCAACTGCATGTATACATGGTTATAGGACAAGAATCTCAACCATTTTCATGTTATGACCCAGGAGCTAAGTTTCCAGGTGCAGGGATGGACCCCAAGGTCAATCCTTGAGGCACATGTGTATTCATCAATTCATGACAAACCATATATTATATACATGGTTATAGGTCAGCAATCACATACATTTCTATGTTATGCCCAATGGACTAAGTCCCTAGGGATGGGCCCTGATAGACCAAAGGAAGAGTCATTCTTGGTAGAATCTTTCTATTCTGTCTAATTGCAAATAGCAGTTATCATCAAAAGTCTGGTATTGAAATACACTGCCATCCTCAGCCATTGATTTAGTTAATAAAAAAGAAAATTTTCTTAATTATCTCTGACTTATTTCCCTATGACTTCTAAAACTGAATTTACAAGTTGAGGAATGTTGACATTTCTACTATATGACCTGTATGGATTAGCCAATGACATCCTGACGCAGAGATCCCAATGAGTCCTTGGAATGATGTCTTCCTATGGCGACACATTACTCAAATTGATTGAACCATTAAAACTATACAACCCAAAATAATGACTCACTAAGTGCTTATGTAGACAAGCAAAGTCTGATATATATCTATAGGGATACAAGAAAACCCTTTCTTTGGTAAAATGTAGATGATCGTAATGGCTAGTCTGGGACAGACACAAACGATCCAATCACAACTCAGCTAACACATACGGACACCAGATCAGATACACTCACAGTCTACAGGGACATACCGTAAACGCTCGGATAAAAGTATCAGTGCTGTCTACTGTGGTGTCCTATAGGCACTCCAATACCAAACAAAGTATACGTACCATAAATACTCTGATGAATGTACCATGTAGTTCACAGGAAAAAACATCTATATATGCCCTGAGACACCAAAACTGCTTAGATATACCCTATACACCTAGATAAAAGTGTCATCCTAGTTTATAGGGAAGTGCCATAAATCCTTCTTTTATAGTACTAGTATTATCCCAATTCACAATTAAGTTCCATAAACACTCAGATCAATGTATCATCTTACTTATAGGGATATACCATAAATGGTCAGATAAATGTATCGTCTTACGTATAGGGATATACCATAAATGGTCAGATAAATGTATCGTCTTACGTATAGGGATATACCATAAATGGTCAGATAAATGTGTCGTCTTAGTTACAGGGATATACCATAAATGGTCATATCAATGTATCGTCTTAGTTACAGGGATATACCATGAATGGTCAGATAAATGTATCGTCTTACTTATAGGGATCTACCATAAATGGTCAGATAAATGTATCATCTTACTTATAGGGATATACCATAAATGGTCAGATAAATGTATCATCTTACTTATAGGGATATACCATAAATGGTCAGATAAATGTGTCGTCTTAGTTACAGGGATATACCATAAATGGTCATATCAATGTATCGTCTTAGTTACAGGGATATACCTAAATGGTCAAATCAATGTATCGTCTTAGTTACAGGGATATACCTAAATGGGCAGATCAATGTATCGTCTTAGTTACAGGGGTATACCATAAATGGTCAGATCAATGTATTGTCTTAGTTACAGGGATATACCATAAATGGTCAGATACAGTATCGATCATGTCACTCTACATAGATGTACGTTTAACAAACTTATCACTTAGTCTACAGGGAGGTAATGGTCAGATAAATGTATCGTCTTAGTTACAGGGACTTACCATAAATGGTCAGATAAATGTATCGTCTTAGTTACAGGGATGTACCATAAATGGTCAGATCAATGTATCGTCTTAGTTTCAGGGATATACCATAAATGGTCAGATAAATGTATCGTCTTAGTTACAGGGATGTACCATAAATGGTCAGATCAATGTATCGTCTTAGTTATAGGGATATCCCATAAATGGTCAGATAAATGTATCGTCTTACGTATAGGGATATACCATAAATGGTCAGATAAATGTATCGTCTTACGTATAGGGATATACCATAAATGGTCAGATAAATGTATTGTCTTAGTTACAGGGATTTACCATAAATGGTCAGATAAATGTATGATCTTACTTATAGGGATATACCATAAATGGTCAGATAAATGTGTCGTCTTAGTTACAGGGATATACCATAAATGGTCATATCAATGTATCGTCTTAGCTACAGGGATATACCATAAATGGTCAGATCAATGTAGCGTCTTAGTTACAGGGATATACCATAAATGGACAGATCAATGT